AATCAAATTCTGGAAAATTTATATTAATAAATATATTTAAAATGCTCAGTTCAAATGAATAAATAGAAAATTTTAAAAGAATTATCTGAAGAGACAATGCAACACTAACAATTAAGATAAAAGTCTAAAATTTACCTAAAATTATGACTAAAAATATAATATAAAGAAAACTATTTGAAAATAAATAAACGATGCCCCTTTGATTTAAACTACGCAGTTCGAATGATAAATTGTAATTTTTAAACAGTTATTAAAAATAAACTCTGCAACATAAACAATTAAAATGAAATTCGAAAAAAAAAATTTCTTAAAATAATAACAACTATAATTAAAAATCTAATATAAAGAACATTATTTGAAAGAAGGAACGATTAAGTCTTTTTTTTTCCTCTCACGACTATGTAAAAATGGAAATGAAAATAGGTTGCCACATATTAAGAGGTTTGCCAAGTGAACTAATTTTGGCGCAAACTGAATAAAAAGCACCAACATAAAATGTTGAATTTCTCCATAAATTTTGCACCAAATTTTACAAAATTTAAGCACACTTTGAGTCGTAGAATCGAAATATGTAAAAAAATTGGTGTTATTTCAGATAAAGTCTGATTTTGTCAGAATACCTATGTTAGAATAGTGCTATATATAAGTCTAATATATATCCCAAGTCACGCTTTGGAGACATGAAGAACGCAATTTGAATTTCGTGAATCGGCCCAGTAGAACAGGAGATATAACACTGTCCCTTTTTTTTTGAGAAGTGTACATATTTCTCAATGCGAACTGATATCAATATTGCAATGTAGACTTTCGGCATTTAATAATTTGTAAAAACCTCAAGAATGTGACTTGAAAAATCAAATCTGATGAAATTACTACGGAAAGAAATTTACACTGTGCAAAAATGGGGGCACAGTTCTAATGGGCTGATTGACGAAATTCAATGCCTTTTTAGTGCGACTTAAGATATGTATTAAATTTATATATAGTATTGTTCTAATACAGTTATTTTGACACAAAATCTGACTTTTTCTGAAGTGGCATGCTAATTTTTCCATATTTCGAACCTGCGACTCAAATTCTGCCAAACTGCCAGATTTTTTTTAAAAAACGCACGAGTAGTTTTTAAAAAATAAGCTTGCAAAATTTTAGCCCCTCAATGTTAATTGAATTTAATATATATTTATTAATATCTCTTTTTTTTTATTAAACTTATTCTTCCTTTCACGTTTCAAAATTTAGGTTCATTCTAAATAAGATTCGCCTATCTTTTATAATTTATTTTTAACATTTGTATTTTTTAAATAATTTTTAAATTTTTCCAAAACTTTTGAATTATAACTTATAAAATTTGTAACATCATCTTAAAAAGTTGACGTATTTCTAGGCACACCAGCAAAAGATTAGTTTTGTATTCAAAATTTTCTAAGATATACATGAATTTACATATAGACCCATTTTGAATTTTAGCATATTTGTTAGAAGTGATAATTACACCAAATATGGTTTACACAGTTTGTTAAAATTATTTCAAGGTATGAACAAAGATTTGTTTCAGCTCCTCTGCAATGAAAAAAGGAAAATAGGTTGCTATAAATTAAGAAGTTCGCCAAGTGTATTATTCTTGGCAAACTTTAAAAAAAAAAAGAAGCCAAGTTTAATTTTTGAATTTCTCCATAAATTTCGCACTTAATTTTACAAAATTTAGTATTTAGGCATAATTTGAGTCGTAGAATCGAAATGTGGAAAAACACTGGCATGTCACTCAGAAAAAGTCCGATTTTGTGTCAAAATACCTATATTAGAACAATGCTATATAGATAGAGATCTAATACATATCTTAAGTTGTGCTTTTGAGATATGAAAAATGCAATTTGATTTTCGTCAATCAGCCTAGTAGAATGGGAGATATAGAACTGCCCCCCTTTTTTTATGCAGTGTGATGATTAGTATATAATCAAGTTACTAATAATGACAAGGAACTTCAACATAAAAACATATTTTAAAAGCGTAACACTTCAGTGCATGAAAAAAAATTAAGGAAAATATATTTTGATCTAACTGGAGTTTAATTAGAAGTTTTGTTGTTAAAAAATAAAGTTACATTTACTCAAAAACTTAATAAATTTATTATATATTTCTTAAAACCTCAGCAAGAAATAGCAATGATAATTTCAGAAGTATGTGGAATAAAAATGCAAAATGGAAGTTATTAACTTGTGTGAATGTAGTGTATTGAACATTTCTACTATTTAATTTATTCAATTAAATATTTATATAATATTTTAACAGGTTCATCTAGTTCTTTAACTATTATGCTGCAAGCAGTTGAACCAGCTTTAGTTACCATACTGGTACTTCTCGTACTCAATAGCCACTGATGTCCCAAGAAGCCAAAGTTGCAGCACAGATGCTATTTTATAATTATGTTAATACAGTTGCATAAATACAGACATATAGAGATTGTACATGCCCTGCATTTAAGACATTTAAACTACATGTTCCCTACATAAACATATATGTGAGCATTCATAAAAATCATGCAAATGTTTTTCCCCTGCAGCTTTATTAAAATAAAATACTATTTACATTTCTCTAGTGTCGGAAAGTATTTTCTGAATTGTACAGAAGATTATAAACACAGCTGGAATATCATGTTACTGAATTAACCTCCTTTTAGAAATAAATTTATGATTCACATTAAAAGCATTAACTTCTGATATACAAATGTTACATAAAATACATGTCTGATTATTGATTATTACAAAAGCAAACAAAAATTTTATTTAATAGTTTATTACACACATTTTACACAAGATTTACTTCAATTCTTTCACTTGAAGACCTGCAAAAAATAAAATAAATGCAATTAATACATAAAATATTTCACTATATTCTTATATACAGTAAAATCAATTTGCAATGGTAATATTCGATTATGTGATAAATTTAAGTACAGTCAGTTTGCAATGTTAGTTCAACTAAACTGCTAACCCCAACAAAGGCTGAATCTGATTCAACAATTCTTCATTTTACTAAAAGTTTGAAAAATGCAATATAAAACTCGTTAATTTAAAGCAATGAAATTTAGAAAGTTTATTTATATTCACCATTTTCAGAAAACTTTTTCAAAATATATCAAAGATGGGATCAAAAGACATTTAGTTCTGGTACCGATGGTACAGTCTTGAATGAATGTCCCTCCCTTAAAGCCATCCTCAATGTTGCCACAGAAGTGACAGAGTGTTAGATGAGGAGGTCTCCAATACAAAGAATCTGTTTTTAATACTAAAAAAGCACCATATAGCTATATATAAACACATTTGTGATCTAACATACTTAGCAAATAAATACTGTTTTTGGCATGCTTAATAAACAGACAAGGAACAAAAAAATTCAATCAAGATTTTACTATGTATAAAAATGCTCAGATAAAAAAATTAACAGACATTAATTTTGATATCCATTCATTTTATATTATTCATCTTTGATGTATAATTATCTTAAATTCAAGAATAAGAAAGTATGTTCAAATTATGAAGGATGAAACCCAAAACCCCAATTTTGACACCTAATGATCAATAATAATAATCCTGATCAATATCTTAAAGCATTCACATTATTACCACACAAAGATGACAGAGTGCAAGGATGTGAAGGCTTAGAGGAATTTTACTACAGTTAATACCTAAAAAAAAACCATTACAGTTAAACCAAACAACTCCATAAAAGATTTTATTTTTTCATTGCATAAAAAACTACTCATGTCATTCATTAAATGCAAGTTTTGTTTGTTATTACCTTTAAATTTATGAATAAATATGAGAGTGAAGGAAAAAAATCTATTGTAGCATTAGTAAATTTTTTACAAGTTTCTTTGCAATATATTTTACATATAATAATATATTTTACAAGTTTCTTTGCAATGCTGCATATAGAATAGTTTTTAATTAAAACACAAAGTGGTAAACAAATTTTCATAACTTGTAATTAAATACAAAAATGACTGAAAAAATATTCATTATAAACCAGGCTGGAAAAACAACATTACCTACGTGTGTTGTCACTCGCTATCTAGAATACTGTTGTGACAACTGCGTACACTGAATACTGTACTTCAATAAGCACACCACAAAATTTTAAAAACAAGAAGTATTTACTTGTACTTTAAATTGTTGGGATTAGTTACATAAAATTCATCCATATTTGTGGCACTTGCATTCACCACATACAGGGTAGGTAGACAGATGCCCTCAAAGTTATTTGTTTTATTCTGAATATAGTTTTTTAAAATACACGATGGGCAAATTATGTTCAAGACAACAAGGATGGAATCAAAACACTAGTTTTAACACTGAACACACAGTCCTACATTAATGTCCCTCCCCTAAGCACCACAAAGGTGACAGAGTCCCAAGATAAAAAGCCTCCTAACAGCAAAAATCTTACGAAAGTTTTCGCAAAAGAAAAAGTACTTTTTAAGTGACAGTAAAAACTTCAAAAATAATAAAATTTTAACAGAGAAACGAAAATATATACATAGCTTAAATCAAACCTGCATTATTTATGAAACAATGAGCCTACTAATTTATTCTACACTCGTACATAATTTTCCAACAAAAACATAAGGCAATGAATTATGTACAGTGCAGATTGGTTCATTTATCAAGGATGGCACCAAAACTCTAGTTTTGAATTTAAAGGCATAGACCTGCATTAATGCCCCTTCCCTTAAAAGCATTCACATCATTACCACAAAGGTGACAGAGTGCTAAGATAAGGAGGTTCACTCTATTTTATTAATGTGCCATCTGTGACAAATAATAACCTACACTGCATTTTCTAAAGGCATAACAGCAAAACCTTAAAATTAATAAAATCTTAACAGAGAAAGGAAAATATTACCTACACTTCACAATCTAATATTAAATTGCTAAAACAAAAAAACAATGAAGCTACTAATTTATTCCTATTACGCAATTTTCTCGCACAAAGACAATAAGTTATGTACAGGACTTTGAGGATGGAACCAAAACACTAGTTTTGACACCGAAGGCATATTCCTCAATTAATGTCCCTCCCCAAAGCATTCACGTCATCACCACAGAGGTGACAGAGTGCCAACATAAGGAGGTTCATATTAACAAGAATTTTATAAATGTGGCCATCTGCAACAACTAATAAACCCCTCTAAATGCACAAAAGGAAAATCTTAAAATTAATAAAATCTTAACAGAGAAAGGAAAATATCTACATTTCACAATCTAATACTTAATTGCTACAACAAAAATGTAATATTTCTGAAACAATGAAGCTACTAATTAATTCCACAGCTAATTTATTCCTGTTACCCTATTTTCTAGCACAAAGGAAGATGGTAAGTTATATACAGGACTTTGAGGATGGAACCAAAACACTAGTTTTGACACCGAAGGAATATTTTTCGATTAATGTCCCTCCTCGAAACATTCACATCATCACCACAGAGGTGACAGAGTGCCAACGTAAGGAGGTTCATATTAGGAAGAATTTTATAAATGTGCCATCTGTAACCACTAACAATCCACATTAAGCTTTCTAAATGCAAAACCTTAAAATTAATAAAATCTTAACAGAGAAAGAAAAATATTACCTATATTTTACAATTTAATATTAAATTGCTAAAACAAAAATGTAATATTTCTGAAACAATGAAGCTACTAATTAATTCCATAGCTAATTTATTCATGTTATGAAATTTTCCAGCACAAAGGAAGACGGTAAGTTATATACAGGACTTTGAGGATGGAACCAAAACACTAGTTTTGACACCGAAGGCATATTCCTCGATTAATTTTCCTCCCCAAAGCATTCACATCATCACCACAGAGGTGACAGAGTGCCAACGTAAGGAGGTTCATTTTAGGAAGAATTTTATAAATGTGCCATCTGTAACAACTAATAACCCACATTAAGCTTTCTAAATGCACAAAACACATTAAATAATAAATCTTAACAGAGACTTTACTACATTTCACAATTTAATATTAAATTGCTAAAACAAAAATGTAACATTTCTGAAACAATGAAGCTACTAATTAATTCCATAGCTAATTTATTCCTGTTATGCAATTTTCTAGCACAAAGGAAGAGGGTAAGTTATGTACAGGACTTTGAGGATGGAACCAAAACACTAGTTTTGACACCGAAGGCATATTCCTCAATTAATGTCCCTCCCCCAAGCATTCACGTCATCACCACAGAGGTGACAGAGTGCCAATGTAAGGAGGTTCATATTAGGAAGAATTTTATAAATGTGGTATCTGTAACAACTAATAACCCACATTAAGCTTTCTAAATGCACAAAAGCAAAACCTTAAAATTAATAAAATCTTACCAGAGAAAGGAAAATGATAACCTACATTTCACAATCTAATATTAAATTGCTAAAACAAAAATGCATTACTTTTTAAACAAAGAAGCTACTAATTTATTCTACACTGTTATGCAATTTCCCACTATACAGGAAGACCTAAAATAAGCTATGTACAGGACTTCGAGGATGCAACCAAAACACTAGTTTTGACACTGAAGGCATATTCCTTGATTAATGTCCCTCCCCGAAGCATTCACGACATCACCACAGAGGTGACAGAGTGCTTAGCAAGAATTTTATAAATGTGCCATCTGTAACCACTAACAATCCACATTAAGCTTTCTAAATGCACAAAAGCAAAACCTTAAAATTAATAAAATCTTAACAGAGAAAGGAAAATATTATCTACATTTCACAATCTAATATTTAATTGCTACAACAAAAATATATTTCTGAAACAATGAAGCTACTGCAAGAATTTTATAAATATAGCATCTGTAATAACTTATACCCCACATTAAGATTTATAAATGCATAACAGCAAAACTTTATAATTAATAACAGAGAAAGGAAAATATTTACATTTCACAATCTAATATTAAATTGCTGAAAACAAAAATGCATTATTTCCAAAATAAAGGAAGACAATTTATGTACAGGACATCAAGGATGGAACCAAAACTCTAGTTTTGACACCGAAGGCATAGTCCTTGATTAATGTTCCTCCCCTAAGCATTCACGTCATCACCACAGAGGTAATGGAGTGCCAAGATAAGGAGGTTTCCATTAAAAAATACTATTTAAAAAAAAATAACTTTTTATTCTTACATGGTTACATTTTAGATTAATACAACAAACATTAAAATACTACTGCCAGTCCCCATTAAACTATACATTACAATAAACACAAAAGATTAGTATACCAAGCTAATCCAAAAAGTAAGTGCCGTTTGCACTCATCTCTCATTGATAGCAAACATTACATATGCATAGTTACATTTTTGAACCCGAGAAGGTATTACCCTCGATATTTTGTTTGCTTATATTTGGGGGGGGGATTGTTAATAGTGTTTGAAACAATAGATTTGTCCACCAGCTGTGAAATAAGAGCTGCTACCAGGTTTCTGAATGAGAGAAATGTTCGACCTCATTAAATTATAGTCAGATGAGTAAAACTTATAAAGAGAACGTGATGAGTGAAGGTATGATGCGAAAATGGGTTAGGATGTTTAGCAAAGGATGGGAAAATATCCAAGAAAGAGCGCAGAGGATACCTACCGCTAATCACTGAAGAATTGTTCACTGCATAGATGAAAACATTTGTTCAAATAGGCAAATCACGATTTCTGATTTGTTGACACATTTTCAAAACACTGCATGATCTAAGTCACGTGGAACTGTTTGCACTACATGAAACTGTGGCACTATGTTTTGGAACTATCGATGAATTTTATTCACAGACGAAAGGAATTGACTACCAACTTCGGGTATGGTGTTTGCAGCATGAAAACTATCGTCAACATACTGCGCATGTAACAATGACGCTGCTTGATTCCTTTAACTGGGAATAATTCTTTCACCCTTCTCACAATCTACACCTAGCTCCATCAAACTTTCATTTGTTTTCTCATCTCAAGGAATATCTTGTTGGACAGCACTTTGCCAGTTATGTAGAGATTAAGGTAGACGTGGAGAACTTCAGGTTGCAAGCAGCTGAATTATACGAAGGAAGTTTATTGCCATTAGTGCTTAATAAACCGCACCCAGGTTACAAGGGGCAAGAAATACGTATCGGTATCAATAGCACAAGACCTCCCACCTCATAGCATGGGAATGTTCAGTTATTCTACACTGATGGCTCAAACATCGCGGAAGGAGTTGGCTGTGCCTATGCTCAATATAAAGATCAAATATCTGGAAAGAAAACTTATAATTCATCAACAGCATCTTCCAGGCAGAGGCACTAGTCATCTTAAAGGCAAGCAAACTACAAAAGAAAACATTCCATATATAGTTATCTACTCTGACATCAAAAATCATCTCTTCTGGCCATTCTAAATCTCCGCCACAACTCTCCTCTCATAAAAGCCATTCAAGAACAAATATACAATGACAGCCGACCTGTATGGGTTAAAGCATATATGGAGTCTAATGCAATGAAACGGCTGAACCATCTACACAAAGATGGGGCATACGACATTGATCCAAGGTAGTGCCACATTTCAGCACATTCCTCTCCCCTTAACGCATTCTTCATTGTGAAGCATTAATCCTCTGGCAGCAAGAACGGAATAACAGTGACACAGGAAGTCACGCTCACGCCTTCAAACATTTCCACTGATCCTCTATATTTCCAACCCTCAGCTCATGCATTTTATCACCAGGCTGATAGCCCTTTTCTGGCTGATTTCAAAAAGTATGGTATCACCAATACTGATATCTACGTATGGCCAAGAGGGCAGCCACGACCATTACATGTACAATTGTCCTCTTAGCATCTCTACATCTATGACCATCTCGAATCAACCTAAACAAACGCTTACAAATCAGGCAGCAATCACCAAAATTTGCAAGATCCTGGATTTAATATCAGCTTAAGCTTTGGTCTTCAGTGCACAGTTGCTTAGAATTGTTTGTGCATCTCATAAAGAGATATAAGGAGTGTTTTTATATTTTTGTTCAATAATTTACATTTTATGGGCATTTTACTTGCATTTTTTATTTCATGCTGTTTTAAATTCTGACATCACAATATATATCTTGCATCCTGTCTCCAAAAAAGTAACCATTTTATCACCATTTAGCACTTGTATTGCCATGTAACTTACCTAAATTCATCAATAAACATTGGTGCATAGTGGAGGATGAGGAGCACACACACCCGTTTGCCTCTGGTACACGACAAGGACTCTCATCCTCTGTCATCAACAATTACTGCCAAGATATGGCATATGCCTTATTCCGGATGGTGAATATGCTGAAAAGTAGTTTAACATGTTGACGGTGGCGCAGATATTCATTGTTCTTTTCATGCGGCAGCGCTTGAATTAGCTGTCCGTTTCATGGGGCGGAACAGCACCAAATTATACTGTTCAATTCTTGCATGGTAATACCCACTATTTTAAGTTATCTGTTTTGTATTAAATATTTGATTAATGTTAAAATGTTAATGTATACTGTTGAATAATTAAAATAAAATTTTGTACTATGTATTCTTTTATATACAAGTGTGACTTCGGTGAGCCATGCTGCCCCTCGTAACAATCAAGCATGACCCACGGTGGGTCACGCCGGCATCAACGTGTTAAAGGTGTGTTGATTTTTCTGTAATAAAATACAAATGAAAACAAACTGCTAATCTTTTTTAATACAAAACTGGTACTTAATTTCTGGATGAGCTTTGTTTAACTTTAATTGAAAATTTTAAATTCCTTATGCACCACATAGAATCACACAAGGCTTACAGAAATAAGTAAAAAACAAATACACCACCACAAAATAAAATAAACTTACAAATTCACAGATGGTAATAAATAAATTTATAAAAGAAAGAGAAAGCCAATTTATCTTGGACAAATATGTGAAAAAGGGGAGGAAATACGATTTAACCTAAAAATGAGTTCTTTTCATCCTTCCATGAGCTTTGAACAATAGAACAACAAATGTTCGACATATTGCACTCCTCCAAAGCTGCACAAACACAAGCCTATACTAGATAATCTAAATCTCTTCAGATATGAATTGAAACTACCATGTCCAGTTAAATTTAGTAATTTCAA